TCACGGTCTTGTCATTTTCAGCCAGAAAAAAAAAACCTGTTTGTCAAATAAAAACCCACTAGAAATCAAAGTTAATCACAAAGATTTTGGGGCTAAACAGTACATTAAATAACCTTGTCCACGGTTTATAATCTCATTTCTGACATTGGGATTTCATGGTAACTAATGCATGGTTTTGTGGCTCTTTAGGACTTTGATCACGGGGATGGCCTCTGGCAGTATTGTGGCATTTAACATAGATTTCAACCGCTGGCACTACGAGCATCAAAACAGGTACTGACAAGAGATGGATGCACGCAGCAGAAGGCTAGCGTGGAGGTTTCAGAGGAACACCTTCGGACCAGCGACTGAGCTGTGCGGCAGAAGATCCAAAGAGCTTGAAAGAGATCTAGCGAGCTGGACCACGTGAGCATGGCTGAGAACTTGGTGTGATGACTTGGCCTCCGAGGCGAACATGTTGCCATTTTTCTGCTGCTAAACAATCTGGACACATTGTCGGTTTTCATGTCTTACCTGACCACCAGCTGAAGCATTTCCCCAACTGAGTCAATCAGGTCTGTTCTGGATAAGGAGAGACTCAGATCAACTTCAATTAACACAATTACACAGTTAATAAAAACATGCCTAATGTTCCTGTTTCAAACTGTGAAAATAAAAAAATAAATAAATCCTGCGTTAGGAACATTTCTATAACATTTGTATGGCAGTTACTTGGAACAGTTTTCTAGGGAATAAAAAGAGTTAACCTGTAAATATGGACAGTCTAAAGTGTTTCTTCCCTGTAAAGGCTGAAAAAGATTTAAATGCTGTTAGACTAGCCGCCATGTTGTCAACATTTCCATCATGCGAGCCATGTATAAATGTTGACATTGTCTTCATTGCACTCCAGATATTAGTTGTTTAGTTACATGTATATGGCCATTGTCTGTCCATCGTTCTCAGCAGTGGTCAGATGTATGTGTACGTGAAAAAAACAAAATGTTCATTGTTTGTTGTGTTTGAATGTGTAAATGGAAGAAAAGTCTAATTCAGTGTAAACCTAGTCCTTTGTGAAAAATGTTTTTCATCTTGTCAGCAAAAACAATAAATCATGATTATTCTTACATTTATTTTAAATTCAGGACTATACTGCTGACTGACAGCAAACAGCTACGTACTGTGTCGGACTGTAAACTGACTCGAGTGGGACCTTTTGGAGCCTCAGTTCATATTTACAGATATTTTGTTGTTTCAGTTTCTTCCAAAAACATATCCAGAAGATAAAATACCAGATTTGTTGGATAGTATCTAATGATTGTTAACGTGTTTGTTGTAAACCTGTTAGACATTTTGTAAAAGGAAGTGCCATTTCATTCAGTGATACTCAGCAACTGCTGGCACTGCAAACATTAATACTGTTACTTGTGCATCTCACACTTTTCAGTTTTCCTATTTTTGCACAGACGTTTGCTCATCCATTTTAAAAATGTGAATTCATGGACACCAGTTCATGCTGTAACTCCATGCATTAGTAAGCAATATTATGACTTGGTTGCTAAATAGGTTTAAGGAAGGTTTTCATCGACGTGACAAAATGATCAAATTAACTATTTTTGGTATGGAAGCTGTTAGGTCTACATTTAATTGCAGAAATGAGAAGTCAGTGCTATGAGCTGTCAATTTAAATGAACAAAAATATGCAAATAGATGGGAGTTAGCATTTCTTTTTTTTTTTTTTTTTTTAAACAGGTGCTACAAGACACCATCCTACCCAAAGCTGACATTCTGCATGCTAAGAAATTCTGAAGGGTTTACTTTGCTTTCCCGTGAAATAATTTTCATTGTGAATTGAGAAAAATAAGTTTATTAATGATATGCTGGAATTAAGCAGTGGATTTTGATTTCATGTAATATAGTTTACAATGTTTTGATTTTTTTTTTTATTGTTGTATTGCCACTTATTTTTTTTGGATGAAGTAGGACATGTTTGGAGATTCTGTGATTACATCAAAGTCGGTTACTGTAAATTCAACAGCTTTCATTTTTTCTTTTTTTCTTGTTTTTAATAAAACTGAATAAATCTACAGGTGTCAAGATTTTACTAACGTGTCAACTGCCTTAAAGATTTATGCATGTGTTAATACACAATAAAGTATGCACAATGTACAACAGTTGAGTAAAAGCATGCCATTAATAAGTAACTGAAGGTGGACTTTCACTGACTGAGCTTGTGTTATTTGGTCATACTGCCATCTGCTGTCTGAAATTGTTTGTGCGGACCAACTAAAACCAAAAGAGGGGGTCGTATCAGTTACCCACTGACTCATTAGGATAAGCTGCTGACAAATTAAATCCATTTTAATCCCAGGTTTGGTTTCTTTGCAGAGTACATGTTGGAAGTTTGCTTTTTAACCATGACAATAGATTTTTTTTTTTTCCAGTTTTTGTTCTCATTCAGATTTTTTTTTCTAACATCCTTAACATTAATGGAATATGGGTGAATATAATACAACATTCACATTCTCCATCTGCCACCACAAGGTACTGGCATTCCCAGTCATCTGCCATTTCAATTCCATTTTGTCAAACTGTATGTAAACATTAAATGCTTCTCAGATGATGAAGACAGATACAGTCTTGACAGCAAACACATTCCTTAAAACTCCCGACAACTTGTTTTCCTTGTGCTTTTTGGTTCACTTCCTTCCAATCAAAAACGTAAAAGCCCTTTTACAACAAAGTCAGTGTGAAGTTACATTGCTGTTAAAATATGTATATACAAGTCTTAACTCAGCTGTGGTATGACTATAGTCTGCCTTGATTGAAATCCATTCATCAAGACAGCACATACAATGACAACGGGAATGGTTTCATATCTGACAGGTGTATATCCAACATTAAAAGACCAGAACAGCTGATCTGGGATGCATATTTGCACACATGCAAGTTACAGTCTTTGATGAAAGGAAGAGGACATTCACATCCGTGAAGATTTGTTCTCTGGTGAAACTATGTATGAAGTAGTAAGAGGACACACAGTACATACAGTCTAATAAGCCAGACCTTTTAGTTGTATTGTTTGACCTGATCAATAAAAAGGAACGTCCAACAAATGTGCTGACTGAATGAACGATTATTAAAAAAAAACAATTTTTACTGGAAGCACTGTTGTGTTGACTAACATTTAGCTTGTTTCTTATTTCAGTGTGAAAAGAATCCATGTTGCACCAGTTGCCCCTGTTTGATAGAGAAGTCAGTTGGCTGCCAATAACAGCAATACACCCTTACTCATGTGAGCATTAAGGACATATTTGATACTGTGCTCATTGGGCAGTACACCTAATTGCACTTAAATCCACATGTGCCAAGGCAAGGCCTTAAACATGCACTTACTACCAACTACACAGCACTGACATTCATCTGTATCACATCCGAATTACAACCACTCTCACAGACATTTAACAATACTACTTCAGTGATCATCGTCAAGCACACAGGTAAGCTGGACCATCAACAGTCGAGCATTAGTACCTAGTTTCTCTTTATGAAGCTACTACTTGGCAGGACAGTATTTGTCCCGATATAAGTTCTGTTCGGTCCAGATAATGCTTATGGTACATTATAGCAGCACATCTTTTCAGTTTCTTAAGTCCTGTCAAATAATGTGTAATGTTTATGCACCACGACTTCAAGTACCACAGCACAAAGTAACCTAGATGTCATACAGTACAACAGAAAGTTGAATTTTACTGTGAATATTGTATCGACTGAGTTTTTAAACATCCGAGTTTAAATCAGTATGATAAGTGATATGTACATAACATGCCATATCACAAAATCATGTCATATTTAGAAGCTATGGTTTCAATGTTTCGCACGTCCATTACAAAGCAAAGCAGGACGTCTTTCCTGCAGTGTACGATATAAACCAGCAGAAGGCTCCAGAGTACTACAACAAACCAGTGCTTGCTGAGTAGAAATAAGGCTTGAACAGTGCAGTGGCTGTTTTTTGTTTTTTCCAGGAAAAAAGATGATACATTAAAAAGGGACATATCATGCTCTTTACACTTTCTGTCATTTATGTACTAAGTCAGAAATCTGTTCTATATATAGTCAAAGTTCAAAAGTTCTGAACCCCTCTTTAGCGATGTTACCTCAACTTTCCCATCGAACTGATGCCATATTGTTCGGGTATGCCCACAGACAGGCTGTTCTTTTTCCTTAGTGGTCAAGTTTGTTCCGTGGGTTGTTGGCGTTGTCGACTTGCATCCACACTTTGGTTCAGATTTGGGTTCAAACATCCAGATGTATTTGCAAAGTTGAGATTTAGAAGAAAGACAAAAATAATGAAATCTGACTACTCCTGTTTGTTTTTGTGGCTCTGGAGCCGGCAAAAATCTGTGTGGAGGGGCAACTTGTGGGGGCTAGCCAATTAGGACAGAGTGAGCTCATCAGGAGGAGGGCCTTGAATAGAGGAGAGACTGTTTCAGACAGAGGGTGCACTGAGGGACGGCATAAGTGGCCAGTTTAGGCTAACGAAGGAGATTTTAAACTGTAATTCATGCAAAGATATAACATTAGAGCATCAAAATTAAAATATAGACCTGGAAATTCATGATATGCCCCTTTAAACATTGTTGCATGCTCTTATGATGTACTCTTTGATCCAGAGACTAACTTGCCACTTATTGTGAACATCGCATTTTACAATAAAAATAAATCAATAACATAAAAGTACTATGACGAGGAAAAAAAATTAAACAGGTGCAGATAATTGTGCAGTTTGTGAATGTCCATGACAAAAGACTGGACCCAGTGTTGGGTTTTTCCCTCTCCCACGTTTTTTTCAGAAGAGTGGACGACGCTTTGACCTCAGGAAGGCCGTTAGAACGGAGAAGTGGGTGAACGGACAGTGTCAGCCGAACTTGGGGAATAGTCTTCAGACTCAGCGGGGGAGAGGCCAGGGTTAGCACTGTAGGGGGCGCTGGCACCGATACTGTGTGGGAAGTGGGGAGTGGGCCTTACATCCTGGTAGCGTCTTCGTCGGAAAACTTGCTTCTCCTTATCAAGTGGCGTGGTCTGAGAGAGGGTGACACAGCAGCAACTGTTAGCTTCTCTACAAGACCACAGAGATGAGGAGTGACATCCAATCACTGATGCATGACGTAAAGTTTATACGAGACAATGTTTGCATGCAGTTGAATGTGAAAAGCTGCATTAGCCCCCACAGCTCATCTCCTGAGAGAATGACAGAAAGTTCGACTTCATCTTGTGACACCCTAATGCAGTGCTCAACAAAACCAGGAAAAGCAACAAGATAAGGTCTGCCAGCACCAGGTAAGTGGCACCTTTATGCCCGTGATAGCACTTCTTATGAAGAAACAGATACGCTCATCTTGTGAAACAAAATCCAGTGACTCACATGAACCCTCAAATGCAGTTAGCGTTGCAGAAATGTTACTTATCAATAAAGAGCGAGGGGAACTGGACAACCAGCTGAGAAGAAACAGCCACAGCAACTAGTGAGATGAAGTAACATAATAAAGTGATGGATCTGATGAGGCATGAAAAGGGCTTGATGAGCAATGAATCAAACCCTTGAGGGGGGGCAGGGGATGGGAAATGGAGACTGCCAGCACTTTGCCATGGAAGCACTCACTGCATTTTAGCACTATGCTGTGTCATACCTTATCCAGTACAATCCTGGATGCTGGCAGTGGTCCAAAGACCCTGACTTCTGGATGGTAAAGTCCTGGTCCAGCTGAGCAGAGAGAGATGAACGCAACTCAGGGGATCACCTTGAACTCAAAGCATCACTGACCCGATTAGCATTAAGACGCACAACTCTACATCCCGTTATAACTGCTATGATGAGTAGCAAAATAAATAAATAAATAAAAAAACTGGCAGAAAAATGTCATGTCACTGTCAACTGACATTCTGTGAAATGTCAGACATATTTCTTTTTGGCAACTGACAACTCAGCGCTTACTTCACCTGCAACGAAATAAGTTCAATATACTAGAAATATACGCTGTAGAGGAACGCAACTGATTAATGCTACTAAAAATAGACAGCGGTTTGAAATCCAGTATAGAGTTTTTATTTTTATTTTTTTATCCTTATGCACAAATACAGGTCAAATGTAAAATTATAAGGGTAAAATTCCTCCCCGGGCATTATCAAACCCCTAAAAACTCATGGCTGTGTATCACAATTACATAATTATATTTTTTTTAATGAAAATAATCCCTTTCTGCCTCAAAATGGCTTAGATGTGGCTCTACACTTTTGCTTTCTTTAGAATCGGCCAGTTTGTGAAATCTTCCCACGTCTATCTCCACCAAACCCTCTGCCTCCCGACCGCAACACACCGGCTCACCTTTAGCTCCACACAACACAATGGCAAGTTGTGACATTGGGGTGCTTCAGCCCTGCATGTTTGAACCAGAAACAGTTCTGAAGAATAATAATATGAAAATCCAGCCCCACAAGTTGACAGTTCCTTTGGTTTGCTGCGTATGAAACTCAGGCTGATGTTTTTGAGATGGTCAACAGTATCTGGCAGTTTCAAGGTAGAAATAATCAGACATGGCATTGGCTGCTTATTTCACTCATGATATGTCTTCCTGTATGTGAAAAACACATAAGTTTTTTTAAAAAAACCCAAAACAACCAAACTTGATTTTCACCATCTTTAAGTCACCTCTGCTGAATTCTAGTCATTGTAGGTCAGCTACAGTATTTGGAAGATCTCCTAACAAAAGTGCTGACAGTCTGGCTAAAGGAGGAGGATGAGAAGCCAGAGGAAATACAAGGAGACCTGGTGACAAGACGGAAATGGATGAATGGATATGTACACAGAATAAAGCGAAGACATTTCTGCTTTGCAAATGCAAACAATGCAAGTTTCAACTTAAAAATGACACCCAAGGCATAAGGAGAACACTTTAGCGAATGGTAGGAATTAAGCAGCAGAAGGAGACGCATGAGGAATACTACAGTTCAAAGTTCAAAACGGAAGTTGCTTTTGAATGACATTCAAAACATCATCACTAAAGCATGTTCATAAAAAAAAAGAGCCCAAATGTGATCTATTGATGCAGAATGACATGCAGCGTCAGTGCGTGGATGAGAGCAGATCAGTGCTTACTGTGATAACTGACACTCCTGCTGTAGTGCTGCTGAGTTTAGGGCCGGTGTTGAAGTGCTTCTTGATTTTACCAGCCACAGGCAGCTGATGCTCGTTCTCTGAACCTCCATCATCCTGGAAAATACGAGGGGGCTATGCTTCAGCAACTCTGTCTGCTCACTGTACACATTCTTCTGATTGGTACATGTATGTGTACAGGGGAGAGAATTGACTTCAGAAGGCTTAACTTACATTGACCCAGGGGTGATCAAGCACCTTTACAGCTGTGTATCTTTGTTCCGCTTCTACTTGCAGCATTCCAGTGATCAGACCCTAAAGAGGAGCGCGTTAGCCATAAGTATCCAGTACAACAATGCAAGCTGAAACAACACTGATCTCTGTCAGATTGTGGTGTTTCATGTGGACCATAATCATGGCAGATGAGGAAAGCATTTCCAGACACAAACCTTGGCTCTCTCAGACACATTGTCCCAGAATGGTGCAGGGAAATCCAGCTGGCCCTTTAGAATCTGTTCAAAGAGAGCCTCCTGGTCTTCACCACTGCTGTTGAAATTAAACACACAGTGTTTTATGAAGCTCAAACTAAGCTACACATAAAGTATAGTGTGATGGCATACCATGAGCACTTACTGATATAATTTAAACCACTTAAGCAGGTTTATGTTTTTAATAAAGTAAACCTCCTGATACAGGAGCACATACCCACGGAAGGGAGGGAAGCCACACAGCAGAATGTAAGTGATGACACCAGCTGCCCAAATGTCAACCTTGAGACCATATCTGTAATTGAAAAGGAACATATCATGTATCAGAGACACTAAACACGTCTGCAAGTAGGAAGTCGTACTCAAGTGTTTGATTCCTTGTCCTAATAATCATGTGGCAGATGGCTAAGATGATGTAACTGCTCTGACTCACCCCGATTCAGCAACAATCTCTGGTGCTACATAGGTGGGTGTCCCACACACAGTGTAGAGGGGCCCGTTGACGACGGTAGCCAAGCCAAAGTCACCTAGCTTCAGAGATTTACTACCATCTTGGTGCTCATACACCTGTGTAACACATGCAGTAAGGGAACATAAGAAAGAGGCGAGCAAAACAGTCACCAATTTATACTCATCAGTGTGGATTTTATGAACATAAAAAGCTTGATGTGATTGTAAAATCAAGTACAAAGACTTCAGAGAGCAAAATACATTAAAACAATATTGCAACTGCAACTACAGAATGTCTCTATTGAACAAAATTAAGCTTTCTAAATAGTTTGTAAAAAAAAAAAAAACAAAGTGCAAGTTGAATTACATCTGTGGTGAGGCAGATGAGTTTCAATCTTCCCTTTTCAGCTACATTTTAGAGTTAAGATATTTTTTTAGGTCATGATGGGCTATTAAAAAAAGGATGTTTTATAAATGTAAGTACCAAATGACCACAATGAGAAAAATATAAAAAATACCTTGTGTATCTGCATCATTTACTTTCACAGATTTATTTGATGAATGTTGCCCGTCTTATTGGTGGTAGTTTTAAAAGCAAGACTGTGGGAAGCTTTTACAACGTACAGAAGCTTTGCATCGTCATACTTACCAACAAATTTTCTGGTTTTATGTCTCTATGGACGATGTTGAGACTGTGCAGGTACTTGATAGCACTCGCCAGGTTGAACAGCATACAGCTGGCATCTCGCTCTGTGTATTTGTTGGACGAGGTAATGGCATCAAAGAGATCACCCCCCTGGAGAGAGAGTACTTAGGATGTGAAAGAGAACCAGCTGCTAAATGAATTAAAGGGCTGAGGCAGATTAACTGTTTTGGGGATTTGACATAAAGACATTACTGGTTAACAGGGATAATCAACTCTATATTAGTCTACAAAATATATGTCAAAGTATACCTCTAGTAAGAGAAAAAACTACTTGGTTTGCACTTGGTTTTTTAACAACAAAACTTTTACATCTGCGCTTAAAATTTCTTTGGTAGAATTCCCATATGTACAGTACCTTAACCAGCTCCATTACAAGATAAAGCTCACTATGGGTGTCCATTTCCTCAATTAAAAGTACGATGTTGGGATGTTTCACACGCCGAAGGATGGATACTTCACTCTGTATCATGTGCTCCTAAGTGATGAAAGAAATTTAAACAAATGAGAATCTATACACACTGTGTAGTGGAAATATACAGACCATGAAGTGTGAGACTGGGTAGCCCTCTTTTCTTTTGAGAGTAAATAGGAAAGATAAACCAGTTTCAGAGAAAAATGCTACTTCACTAGGATCATCTGATGGCGTTATTTAAACTGGAAAAAAAGGAGGAGACAGCACCATCTTCTGACCAATGAGGAAAGTACAACTGAATTAACTGATGACTGTTAAATACCAAGACAACAGTGAATCAGCTCAATTTTGATGGGTCAACAGTTGTAGAGTCCGGCTCACCTTTCCCCTGCATTTGACTTTGCTGATGATCTTGAGAGCATACTCTCTCCCAGTGGATCTCTCCACACATTCTCGAACCACAGCAAAGTTTCCGTCCCCTAAAGTCCTCCCCACTTTGTACCTTTCTGCTATAGAGGGAGGAACTGCGGAGCACTCATCTGTCGGCTCAGCTGTGAAGTAAAACAAAATGCAGAGAGTATAATATACAGCAGCATGTAAAGGTTTGGGCACAATTTGGTCAAAACTGTGAAAAGCTAAACAAGTAAATGATGTTCTGATTTCCAAAAGGCATGAAGCAGACATATTTTTACGAATATTTTAAGAAAGTTTCCTCTTTTTTTTTTATTTCCATAGTTTTAAAATCACTAAAGTGGAAAAGGCCCTAAAGCCAAAGTTTGGGCATGATCAGGACTTAGCATCATCACCTTGAGCAAATATCACAGCTTGTAAATACTTTTGTTGTCAGTATTCAAGCTCTGGTTTGAAGGACTTTTGCACATTCTTCCTTTCAAAAGACTTGTTGTTTTGTCAGATGATTGGGCTGTCTTACATGCACTGCTATTTATTTGGAGGTCTCCACAGATTTTTGGGGATGTTTATGTAGAGGGTCTTGCAGAGGTTTGAAAATTTCTAGATGTTTAATTGAATCCAGTCTTCTGTCTGTCAACCAGTAACATGTTCCCTGTGCCACTGGCTGCAACACAAGCCCCAAGTATGATCAATCCATCTCAGCGTTGTTCTTTTCATCAAATCCGTTACCCTATTTCTTTAAACCTATCTGTGTTCAATGTGGGCCAAAAGTTCAATTCTAATCTCATCAGTCCATAGGAGTCGTTGTAAAAATGCATCAGGCTTGTTAAGACAGAATTTTTTAGTAAGCGCAGGAAAGCTTTAATTCTGCTGAATCTTCCATGAGGGCCATATTTGTGCAGGTACTGCTGCACAGCAGAACAATGAAACACCACTCCAGAGTCTGACAAATTTTCCTGAAAGTCTTTTGCAGTCGAAGCCAGTTTTGAATTGCCTTTTTAGTACTCTTAGGGGTAGTTTTCTCAGCAACTGCAACCATTCCTGTCAACAACAATTTCCTGACTACAATAAGAGGTGAGGAATTTTTTCTAAAAACCTTTTGCTACCTTCTTATGGCCTTCACTTGCTATGTAGAAATCAGTGATTTTAATTTTCAGAATGCTAAGCCACTGCTTAGGAAGCCCATGGCTGCTAATTTCAAGAACAAGGTTTGAACAGTCAAAGCATTTATAAGGCTTTGAAATTTCCAATCACCTGGTCACTCCTAGCAGTGACTATGAACAAGCCATAGCCCCAAAAAGATCTTGGTAAAAGCTGTCTGACAACTAAAACTGCATAGTGCTCATTTCTTCCCCCCTACTCTAATCTGTGCAAAAAAAGTCACTAATTTCAGAGTTTCATCTTTAACTTTACTCCTTTTGATAATCAGATAATCTTCTATTAAACTATTCACAGTAGCAAAAAACAAAACAAAAACATTAGTGTCCAAATTCATGTATGCCAATGTAGAAACTTGTAAGTTACTAACAAACAATCCTGTGCCAGTATGTTAATGTCTTACCTTCACTGCTGGGCCCATCTCCTTCATCCATTGAGCTGCATACCTTGGTAGAGGCTAACGAGAGAGAAGACCCACTGTGTTGAGATCCCTGGAAAGAAGAGACGGCTATAGAGTGAGAATGAAATGACACACTGATGCACTTGTTTTACACAAACTTTAGAGAAGCCAAAAGCTTGTAAAAAATGTGATTACAGCCAGCTTACACAAAGCCCATTTGTTCCACTCTGCTAGCCTTGAGCATGCAGTCTGAGATGAGATAGAAATAAATCAAGCATGGTGAAGCATTATACTAATCTTTTCACCAGTGTAAAGTCTAACCTGTGTTTCTAAAAGAGACCGACAAAATAACATCTTTCACCGCGGCAGGAACACCAACTCCAGCCAGCCTTACGGTTAATTAACGATACTATCGCTGATAATTGTCTTGAGTGTGCTACACAGTCTCAGAATTTGCTGTCCCTACAGAAAACATGTCTTGTTGCAGTGCAGATGACGTTTCATTCAAAAAATACTTCCAACAAGTGATGCTAGTTGCCAAGTTAATTAGGTGAGCTGTAAATCCAGTGTCATGCTGACATTTGGTTTACTCTCTTAATCAATCCCTTGAAACTGTTATGCTTAACAATACTCTGTTTTAAAATGTTAAAGTGGATGATCGAATCTAGTTCAACGTTTTGTGCATTTTTATGATGCTATTCTTGCTACTCTAATCGTTACTGCATCAATAATACTCTTTGTCTTATATTCATTCATTGTTAAGTGGAGTGAAGTGGGCTGTGAGTGTAGCTTTTACATGGTTAAATTTGATTTGTTTTTGGGTGGAATCCCTTTTTAGGGTGGATATCAATGAAGCATTGAAGTACAGACTTGATGCATGAAAAGAAAGACGCTTTGGGACACGGCCGCAGTACGTGTGAGCGCAACTGAAATGTCAGGCACGCAGCCGGTGTAGACAACTGTATTGATTAAAATAGGGGCTATCTGTTCTATCAGACGACTGTGAGATGGACGTCTGAATAATGCCTTTGGTGTAGACACGGCATGCAAGACTAAACAGAGTCGAGACAGGAGGCAGCACCTTAAATTACCCATATTTACACAACTAGTTTGCCAGGTTGGAAAACCAAAATACATCAAATACAGCATCACAATGTTAATGGAAGGATATGAAGTTTGGATGATTTTTTTTCCTTGATTCATGTTTGTGTGAGCCGAGATTTACATGTGTACAGAAAGAAGTCCATTTCCAATCACATGGTTATTAAGGCTATTATCTAGTGGAGGCTAACACATATTTGCTTGGCAATATTTGGGAAATTTTGCAAATTCATTCCCATCAATAAACTTCAGTGTTTATGTTTAATTCCAAGTGAATACAATATTTTAAAATTGTTTTAAAATTTTGTTCAATGATGAAAAATCAATAAATGCATTTCTTCACAAAGCCTTCCTGGTATGGTGTGTGCATGACATCATACAAATCTTTACCTGATTACAGAAGCATCGATTTTTATTACCTGTCGTCTTCGGAGGCTCGCTGGACTGGTTGGAGAGGGGCTTGGAGACTTTCCAGAACGAGGTGTGGACAGCTGACTGCCTGCAGTGCCATTAGCTGTTGGACAGCAGAAATGGAGACAAACAACATCGTGATTAAATGCTACAGAATAAACGATAGTGTACTCCCATAAGAATACAGTGTGAAGCTTTAGAACAGAACACAACATATGCCTTTGTTCCTTTATGTTAGGACATAACACACATACACATGTTTATCTTATGTTTTTTGGCATTTTCATCTTTATTGGACAGCAATAGTAGAGAGACAGGAAATGTGGGAAAAGAGAGCAGGAGGATGATGTACAGTAAATGGCCGGCCAGAAATCTAACCAGTAACTAACTGCTTGAAGCCATTTGCATTTATGTGGTATACACCCTAACTGCTGGGTTACTGGGTCACCATATACATACACTTACCTGAACCAGTAGATGAGGGAGACTTGCTCCTGCGGGACATACCGCCACCTCTTGGGGAAGAGCGACCGTGCACTGTAGGGAGCCGACCATAAGATGCAGACTTTGCCACCCTGCATTCTGTAAAGAAAGACAGACATCAACGTGTACGCCAGCAGCAGCAACATGTTTCCTGGTTGATAAATGGTTGGCTCTGATAATTTAAGGTTCTGCTATTGCATCCATCAGCTTGATTGCATTCCTCACGCTGAACCTGAACTCAAGGTGACGATACCCCAGGTGACGATACCCCAGGTGATCAACCAGCCATTGATCGAGCCATGCTGTGCCAATGGGACCAGTTTGGCCACATCCACTGATGGTACTATGTCTGGAGCAGATCATAGACAGGACCCGAAAAAAAGGAAGGGAGGAAGACCTCTCAAACCGAACCTTCATCATTAATTAGGACAGATTTCTCTTGGGCCTAAAACCAGAGCCACAAACTGTGTGACGGCATCCTGACCTGCACACTCAACATACAACTAAAACCACAACCAATAAACTAGATTAGTGATTGAAAGCAATGATATGGTTTTTCATATCATCTGCATTCAGTGTGAAGCAGATTTGCACAGTGTATTGTCTATGTCGTCACCACACCAAATCAGCTACATACACTATGTTAAAGCTGTAACACTGCTCTGCTACAACCCTGTTACACAGACAAATGAAAAGCCAAGAGGAGCAAATGGAAGTTTGGTGGCCTGATCTAGAGTATATGTCATATTGCACTGTTTGATAAAGTCTGTCCTAATCATTTTACACACAAGGACTTCACAAGAGAAAAAGCAGAAGAGTAGAAGGTGGCCACACACCTCGTACTGTGTATTAGTAGCTCTTCTAACAGTGGGACCTCAAGCGGTAACATCAGTAAAAAGAATACAATTTATTTTATTGTTTTTGGCTTTTCTACTTAATGTTTACATTTTACTAGAGTACACTTATTTGCTTGTATTTTTACTTATATGTTGCTTTTGTCTTACAATTGTATTTATTATTTATTAGGCTTTAAAAAAAAAAAAAAAAACAGGACCTGAGTGCCAATTTCGTACCACAAACATGTAAATGTGACCTGGCATGACAATAAAAGTTCTTTGAATCCTTGAATCCTAGATGTACAAGTTCAAACTTGGAAGAAGCAAGAATCGTTCCATGTGTTTACCACGTTCAGCATTTTCTTGGACCTCAAAAGGAAAACCGTAAAATAAAATGCAACATATCATCCCGCTGTCACTGTGCATGCCAGTGACAGTAGGCAAAAAAACTGAAGCCCAAGGAGTTGGTATGACGCTCTCCTCCCTGAGTGACTCAAGTCCCAGAGGTACACCTACCAGTTTCATCCAAGTTGAAGTCATCTTGATAGCGGAACTTTTCCGGGCCACAAGCGAAGAATATATCATCTTCCCCAAAAAAGTCCTGAAGGCAGGTGACCTAGTAAAGACAATGTTTTTGTCAGCTTTCGTCAACAAACAAGTTTGATACTGGTATCATATCTGAGCACTACTGAGCATAATACTGATACCAAACAGAGTACCATTGTCTTGACATACCTCTCACAAACTAAAACAGAGGAAGTAAAATACAAAAAACAATCTTAAAATCAGCATCAGTGTTGATATTATTTTTCAATCAGTCACATATCAGCAAATTGACTCCATCTACTGCTGCTGCTACTTTGAAGCCGATTTTGGAGGGCTTTCAAACTTTAAATGAGCATCTTGGAGGAGAATCAGTACTTCAGTGTGGGAAGGTACAGTTTGTAGATTACCAACAGCATTTATATAAACCATACGAAATGAGAAACAAAGGGAAGAAGTAAAAATGCTCTTTATGGTGATCATATTCTTGATCATGCACATTGAATCTATATTTACATTTACATGTTGCACCGTTCATTATATCAAAATGATGACAAGTCACTTTTGTGCTTTCAAGGGATACAGTGGCTTTTAAAGTACCATTAACAACTCAGAATTATGATGGGTAATTGTCTCAGATCAAATTGTATTATGGGTAATTTCTCAGTTTGAAAATGGAGAAACCCATCCAGAAAAAAAAAAAAATGGAATAAGCCAATGAATTGAAGATATAGGAGTTTAGCAGACACACCAATCACATACTCGAAATTGGCCAAAACACAGAGGAAAAATTAATGCTCCAGTGTGTGGCATGTGAATAATGGAATTAACCTCTCGTTTTACTCGTGTACCAGCCTGGCTGAGATGAATGTGTCTTAAGGGTAACTACTATGAAAAGCTCATTTTAAACCTGTTGGATGTGATTCAGTGCACTCTGTGACAAAGGCGTCTGCCAGTCATTAAAGACTTTCAATCCCTGGTGGGAGAATAAGTCAAGTGTCCTCTATTGTAATGGATTAACCAATATAAAAATCACGTTTCAGAATATTTAACACAAGTCATCCATTCAGGGACCCAGTCATGTCAGCACACAGTGATAATGCTGTTTCTCAAATGGGAGCATTTTCACACTATACTGTTTTTTTTTTTTTTTGCTGGTTTGGGTTTTTTTTTTTTAGGCCAAGATAAATTTTGTTGTGGTTAACTATAGCTGTGCACTACAAAATGTAGAGTTCCTGTTTTCATTTCTTCCACAGAAGGGTGGACTTTGCTGAACATACTGATATCCCTCTCTTTTAAGTACCTGGCCTGCAAGATCACAGATACACATTGTGCTGCTGCACTACATCACATGTATTGTTGAGCAAGTGCTGGCTGCTCATTAACACAATGTTGGCTAAATAGCAAACAAGAAGCAGCAGAGGCGATGTTACACAATGAGTTTGCTTCAAGTGGCTCTTCTCCATCAGCCTGGCAAGTGAGAAAGCAGAGCTGGGTGCCAAATACATCCCACAGATTCTCACAGACATATCATTAAAAGCAGATCTAAAAAATAAAATAAAGACTGTAAGAATGCTTTACAATAATTTCTCATAAGTGGCTTAAAATGAGATACTGGACATGCAAGTGTGGGACTCTCCGAACGGTCATGTTATAGTAGTGCCACCAGGAATATGTTAGATACGACCAACTGAAAATATAGATCAAGTATAAATCATAAATAATTCAAAGTGCTAAATGTTGGTATTTATGTATTATTAATTGTCTTATCATTAAGACGTGTACTGAGTTCAGTAGGGGTCTAAAATGATGGCTTAAGTGCTGAGACACAGCAAAGAAAACCAGATGAAAACAGTCTGTCTGCCCCACTGCCAGCTAACCACATTAAATGTCATCATCTTTGCTACCATCCGTCACGGTACTGGTGTACCAACATTTGTTTCCACTAAAAAAAATGCACACCTCTAAATTAGAAGAATAAATTAGATTCTTTATCCTGAATATTGAAGTGTTGGATTACTGACTGCACAAACAGACTGTCTTATCAGTGTATTGCCATTAAAGCACATTCAAACATGCAAAGGTCATTCAGTCACAAAATCTTAAAACAAACACTGAGCACAAAGGGGGGGCTTAACATGGCCCTTTTCTCTGCAGATGCCCCACTCTGACATCCCCTGCCCCCAATTTCTCCTCCTCCTAAAATAAAGACTGCATGATCCCAAAGGGAGTAGCTGTACAGCCGTTGCCAAGGGGACCAAACAGAATCACAGCTTAGTTTGAGACAATGAAGGGGACATGGCGACTTTACGATGCACTGTCAGACTCTAGCTGGAGCTCTGAACTGTGCAAAATGCAGACAGTAAAACAATGTCACCATCAGCCTGAGTAAAATAGAAGACCACAGAGCACCTTGTTACGAAGTTATTAGTCCAAATGTGGCTTCGGTACTTTGGTGGATGTCATCTCTTTAACTCCAATCTTAAATTTCTCTAGCAAAAGCAGACATGACCATCAGTTAAAGTTAAAATAAGCAATATTCAAAAAGGTGTAAAAACCACAGACGATATAGAGGACAATATAGATTACTTCCTGTAAGGTCACAAGTCAAAAACAGAATTCTTCACATACTGTGTATTATAATATTTACGTTTTAAATAAGAGTCCAAAGAAATGAGAAACCTCAAACTTGAGATGAAGTAGTATAACTGGGGCAATTGTGAATGTGATGCTTTATATTGATTACTTCTGGCTCAGTGACACAGCAGCTCCATTAGGCCTACCATCCGCCTAACACATAAACACACACATGCTTGCGGTTCAGAACCATTCTGTGCAAATATTGATCACCAGGTTTTTATCTATAATTTCCGCAAGCACAAGCGCTGCCTCTGACATTCAGTCCAGAAAAATCTCAATGGAAGGTGTGCATGCTATAGAAGCTAATCAATCAGAACCACGGTAAAGACTATGTATTGCACACGGAGTGCATAAATCTGCAATAAAGCAACTGTGCCTGTGGACAGGTGGAACTCTCCAGGTTGCAGAAGCTCCCTTTCAAGTGGAAGACTGAACGCAGCAGCCAGTCACCAAACATGCCAGAATGCAGACCCAGCCTGACTTGTAATTTTCAAATGCTTCTAGCTTCATTTTGCGTGAATTGGCTTTATGTGTAGTTTGTTGGACCAAGAATCCAAATCAGAGCTGCTGCAGAAATTTGTGACAAGTGCAATTCCTCAAAAGCCAGATCACACCCACGTCCCAACCACAAATGAACATGTCAAGTCTGTTATATCTCAGCTGAAAATTTTAAAATGTAAATTAGGTACCATTGCACCATCATGAACAAATTAATATCTGATAAGTACAGCTCACAGTATTCATTGTACATGTTCTTAAGTTCCTGCTTTATACTAAATTCAAGTTAAAACAGCGATGTCCACTGAATTCAAGCATGTTCTGTAGCCTGTGAACCAAAACTGTAATAAAAAATAATCTTCTCCATTCCAAATACAATGGCACACTGAGCACTTCACTGCTTTGTGTTTACCAGCCAAGTCACAGCAGTAGGTGAGAGCAAAGCCAGACAGTCTCCTTATCTCGTTCATCCTCATTTTTACCCTTACAGAAACAGAAAGATGCTTTAAAAAACATTTAATAGCAATTCTTTGATTAAGAAAAAACGTATGCACAATTCATAATGCTAAAGTTGCAAAAAAAAGGGAAATTTATTGCAGATAAATCAGGTTTTCTAAAACAAAAACAGCCTAGTATTACAATAACATCCCCAAAAAGCAGAAGAATGTCTCCTGATCTCATTTTAAGTCCATTTCTGACACTGCAGTAGATTTTGCAATAATGCATTGTGCAGACAATACATCTGTGGTACGAGTAGAAACCAAAAGAGATTAATTGTGGGTCAAACCAGGAAATGGCAGAGTCAAGGTCAACATGAAGAAATGAATTGGAAAACATTAGTTACGTTCTGCTCTCTGGCACATAGGGCACCATAAATCTCATAACCACTTCCACTCTGCATCTAATTTCTAAAGCATGAATGGGCTATATAATCACATCTACTGACACATAATTTTAACATGGAGGATTAAGCCTCTGCTTTCATGCACTAATGTGAAGCCAAACAGTCCTCGGGTGCTTGCTGACGTCTATTTTCAACGAGAAGTGTTGACGCTAACACAGAGAAAAGTTAGCAGTGTGCATAATACAATTATAGTGCACAGCCATATCCATTACGGAGGAGATGGGAATGCCATGTTCGAAGTCTCCACAGACATATTTAGTCACTCTTTGCTCCATCCCACAAAAAACAACTGGGTCACACTGGGCCATATAATGTTTTCTTGCCTCAAACGTATTTGTCTGTGGAGTGCGAGTTTCTCCCTTGTCGCTCTTTTCTCTGTACCTTACAGTATGTCTGTACTGTCTTCCGCACAGAGGATGTTTTATTAATCGTATTGAATCAGTCATTAACATTTATAAAGTGCACCCCTGGAACATTACCTTGGTCGGGTCAATTTGGCCTAGTTAAGCCTGATTTCATGGCAGAACACCATTATAGGATGACTCAGCAGCATAGAGGGATCGCAGCCATCATGCAGACCCACCGCTAAGCGCATGCACAAATAGGAACACGAATCAGGATCCCAAAATACATTTCTTACTAAACAGCAAATCACAAAAATCTGTCCCATTATTATTTTTTTTTTTGCAGAAAACAAAGCAAGAGGGATTTGACAGAATGATAATATCACCACAAAGAACTAAAAGATTAATGCTACTGCAAATGTACTAATACAATAAACTAGCTGGTACACTTTTATGACCACATGTAAACAGGATAATCTGCTAGCTGTGTTTGGAAATTTTAATGACACTGTATATGAAAACTAATTTGCTAAGTTTGCAATAACTTAATAGCCCCATATGGAAGAATCAGCACTTTTGTATATTTTTATTTTAAACACTTTTTGTAACACTGCCAATTTCCCCACTGTCGGATTAATAACGGATTATGTTATCTTAATTATTTCAAATGTCAGCAAATGTCTGTCTCAGGACCAAAACCTCAAGCAGGTAATTTACCAAAGGTTAAACGCCCATGAAAACAGGCACTTTGATGCCCCTGGGTGCTTATTCGGCCATCTGGAGGCACAACATGGCACAAAGTACAAAAAGCAGAGAAACTATGGCCCAGAGCTGCACTGCCAAGGACATAACACAACGGCTTATATTTAAGAAGGCATGGATTATATTAAAAACTACTGAAATAAAGAAGTAATTATGGAATTAGTCAAACCAACGAAAGATATCTTCATTTCCCCACTATCTCAGCGTGAACAGGGCGGGCATCTAACTTTCCTCTATTGCAATTTCCTGACCATCTGTGTTTTGCTTAACAATCTCTATTCCTAAAATAATCTAGAGCATTTGTGGAGGCAGATTTGTTTGCTGGTGTGAAAATCTCCAACTGTTCCGCAACGTTACACAATGGGTCCTATCCTGAGATTATACCTCAGCCATGTGCTCCATCTTGCTGCCATGTGTATAGTAAGGCTGATAGACCGAGCACTGCATCTGTGAGCCCTCTCACAATACACCTACAGTTCTGACATCACTACTGCACTGCTCTGCCGCAGAGGCTGTTCCTTAGCAACCGGCTCAGGAAACCATTTCACCATAGAAACGGTCACAGGAAAAAAAATTTAAAAAATACATATTTTGTCATAAGAATACTAATATAAAGTCCATGTGATAAGAGTTTTTGAATAGGCTGACTATTCTTGTTGGATGTTCAGTCATTTTTTTCTGCAGTTACTACTAATATGAGCCCATAAAGCAAAGCGTATCCCCCATGACAGCTGTAGTTTCCTAACAAATATTAGTTCATGTAGTGTATGTGTACACTGAGGTATACAGTAAGAATAAAGCCCATGCACCAAGAACAGTATCAAATAATGTAAATAAAGACTACTCTAATCCATAGATAGTAAAGGGAAAAAAAGCATGGAAGTAGATTGTTATTTAAGTGTCTAGTCGCTGATCATATTGCCTGTCCAGTAATAACTCACTAAGTGAATATCTTTTTAATAATGTGCTACTGTTGGTTGGAATATGAGATGGAGTCCTAGAAACCCACTTCTCATAATACATTTAGCAAATATTCCCAGTCGACTTTTAACCTACTGGGCTGCCTCCCTCTTTGGGTAAGGAAGCAATTCTCAGAGACATGAATGAAGAACAGACCAGACCACCTCCAAGGTCAGAAGAAAAGTTCTTGTTTTTTTTTCCCCTTCTAAACCCTATGCTAATGTGTACCAAGTCTGTCTCATGTGGAATGTTCTGAATTAAACAAGGAAGAGAGAGCACCGCAAATGGGAAGTCAGAAAAGCAGAGAATATTTCAAATCAAGTCTGAGAATATTTAACACCTAAACAGCAGAACACATGTCTCCACAAATAAATTCACGATATTTAGGTATTGTACACAGTAGAGCTAACTAATTCACAAAGGCCATGCCACTCTCATTTCACTTTAGTCATCAAAAGCATCCTTCCGTCCTTCCCACTTGTGAGCAATTAATGTTTAAGTGGTGGACGGAAAGGCAAAAGATAATCGCGCCCTCTCAGGTATAGAGCACTTACAGTTGTTTGAGCTGCTTTGCTTCCTTCCTTTATTTTTAAATACAAACAGTCTCAGTGCTTTAGCTTGAACTAAGTATACAGTACATGTGAGACTGTGGAATAGGATTAAAAAAATAATAATTTAAATTATTGAATGTACTTTTTCAGCAACATAGATTGCTATACAAATATGCAGCCGGTTTCACAAATTGCAAGCACAACTAACAGTTACATAAGACTGAATTTAAAATCAAATTGAGTATATCATGCCACTTTAATTAACTTGAAGTGTTTAACACTAACAGTTTCCTGAATGGCACCGTTGTGTGTTCTATGTAACGCCTCAGAAGTATGTTTAATGTTTCCCCTTTGAGTAAGGACAGCACTGAAAGTCAGGTCCCACATAAACACTTTATGCTGTAGCAATGAAACGTGTCTCCCTGAGAAAAAACTATCCACATACACTGGCAGCTGTTTTGGCTTAGACCCCTCAAAGTCACTTGCTAATCTGAATGTTCTTTTTATGCTGCAGTTGACAACATGTTTCTGCCAATATTAGAAGTTTTACAAAATTAGCAGAATCACAGAATGACTATTTAACACCTACCGGTTTTCCATCAACAGTATATAGCCTTTTGACGACTCCAGAGTCCAGTTTAATGGCATCTGTGATGTCAGTCATGACTTGCTCAAAGGAGTGTGCAGTCTTCTTGTTGAGCAAGATCCGTACGGCCTTGCGAGGCTTTACTCCACTGCGGACAATAGTTACCAATTTGGGCCTAATGAAGTCCTTGTTCTCTCTGGTTTCTGGGGATCCAGCCTTGGCACTGCCAAGGGAAGAAGGATCACGGACAGACACAGCAGTCCGAGCACCAACTGACCAGTTGGGATTTACATTCTTTGTGTACTCCAGCTTCTTGTAGGGTTCTATGGATGCACAAACATAGCTCTCTCCTGCAGAAAATCAAGACACATTGACAGATTTTCTATCAGACACATAGTATACAAAAAGTAAAGGTCACAATAGGTTGTAGCATCGGCTCCCTCTGCGATTAAAGACTGAAGAAAATATACATTTTGTTTAGATTTGCATCAGCAATTTTGGCAGCGTTTGTGACATATAAATAGATGCAGGGCAGAATAACCAGTACTCAGGAACTCTGCTCACCTTCCACCAGCTGGTCCATGCTGGTGATCCTTGTTATCCCATCAATGGTATATATGGTCCGGACCCCTTGGGGCAAGTTGACATTGTCTGACAGAGCTCTTGTGAGGTCAGCCAGGAGTGCTTCAATGGACCTAAATCTCTCCTGAGAAATGGCATACACAATCCCTTTGAAGTAGCGGTCCCCATTGCGGTAGAAACGAATCTTCTTGGCCTTCTTTTCTGAGCTCAGTGCTTGCAGTGTCCTGGTTCTGTACAGGCTGCAGTGAGCGCTATGAGTGGGACTGGGGAGACCATTCCCTCTTGAGCCTCTTCGGGTGTATCTCTGTGCCTTGTCCCGCTCATCAAAGTGCTCCAGCTCCATGACTGTGTAGTGCTATTACACTCTAAATAATACAAGGAGAATGCTTTACAATTTGAATAAGCTTTTAAACTTGCGCATGCATGTTTTATTAGAGCAATTATGTTCTGTGTCAGCCTAGTTGCTTTTACACCTGATACAGCAGTGATACAAGCCTTGATGCTGCAACTGCTGCTCATAAACACATTATGAAGTAACATGTCACACCCATTTCATGCACCCTGGCGTGTCTCTATTCAATCTTAAAAATGTACATATATTTGCAGTGCATAGTACAACATTAACAGCATAAGCCTGCTTGAGGATCTTAGATGGAATCTTAGTGAAAGGTAATCATTTTAAAAAAAATAGCATTGCAAGAAAAACGGCAAGGAAAAGGATTCTTAGTATCGGTGTAATCTCCCTTACCTTTGAGGTGAGGACAGATGCAATCAAACGCGTTTCTTCAGGCGGAACGTGTCTCAGACAGTCTTTTATTTGTTTGATGCCTTGGATGAACCATGCGTCCCTTTGTTGCCCCTGTGATGGTGTTCTGCCTCCCTGCCGTGTGTCTACTCTGCTGTGTGCTCACATGCGGATTGGAGGCAGGGCTGTAGCCGGTGTCCTCCACCCTCCCCTACTCCTCTTCCATTGCAGTGATTTACCGGACCGCTGTGGTGTCAGTCTTGCGCGTGCACGTTTTTTCTGCCAGAGCGCGCACCCACATGCAGACACGCGTGTTAAAGAGATGCGCGTTCCCGTTCAGGTTGGCCTGCTTGAATAACCTCCCCCAAATTTTTGCATATTTATGATTGAATAAAAAGTCAAAATTAAAAATTGTTCGCTAATTAACTCACGAACAAAATAAAAGGCGTTGAGTTAACCTAGAGGCTATCAGTTCCGGTTAGCGAGCGGGTGTGCTTTACCATAGCAACAAGACGGTAGTGCTACAAACTAGCTAGCGCTAATATAAACTACAGCTTGGTGAGAGTGAATTAAAGTTTCAAGCACACATTGTAAAACAGAGAAAGGCTAACTAACTTGCACTCGTCGTTTGTGTTAACTCACCATTTCCACTGGTGTTGTACAAAGACGTGTAGCCGGCTAGTTGTCATTTCACAGCTTCGTAAGCTAACGTTAGCTTACTGCTTCGAATATCACGAGCGGGATGCTAACATCCGGTCGAACTTACTTCTTTTTTTAACATTTTTTATTTATTTATTTATTTTGGTATCAAAATCTCAACACAGGTTGAAAAGCAGACTGCCTTTGTTGTAAGGTGTGTAGCTGGTAATACATTTAAAATGTGACGTTTTTGCCACTTCACACAGGTGTAGGTGATGACTGTGATTAATTGGACCAGTGCATGAAAAGCGTGTGAGAGGCAGGAGGACGCTTTCTACACGGAACCTAATAGGCGCCACTTAAGTATGAGGAGAAGACCACCTAATGGGTAATTTGCACATTTATTATATCGAATCTTCACCGCAGGCTGTCATACCTCCAACAGGTCGACACCATGCATGAATAAACAGAGAAACAACCGTGGCACATGGCCTTTAACTTTTATGCCTATCAGCATTTTTGTATTTGCTCAACCAGATGCCAACAATTACATTATTATGGGGCTTGGGTCCAACTGACCTGCTGAAGGCGCACTTTTGTTATCTTTAGTTAGTTTGCTGATCAAGTTAATCCAACTAAAAGGTCTTAAAGTAATAGACAAACTTGTGACTCCTTGAAACTTTGACTTTGCTACCTTTGCTGTGCGTGTTGTGTTTGTTTCTCAGTAATATGAAGTAGAAATCTGACTTTTTAAAGCCTATAGATACACGTTCCTAGTCTTTTCTGATGGGTTTTTAGTGAATATTTGAAATGAGAAAGTAGCTTGGGCCTTCATGTGTTATCAGATGTCTGATTACAACATGCAAAGCATTGACTGCACTTTTTTTGTAGACAAACCTGGGAGCAAATCACTCCAGTCATATGAAACTTCAGCCACTGAGCAGTAAGAAAAAAAGACAATTGTCACCTATTCTTAGCTATAATATGCAAATCAAGTGTTTTGAATGCAAGTTGTGTTGCAAGGGCTCAGAGCAGTGCTTTTGTTCAGATTCAAGGATGAACATAAAGATGAACCCACGAAAGAGAAGTGCTGCCCCTCTTCTGCACAGAAGAGTGAGCTCGAGACTCTTCATCTTCGCAAGGATCAGAAACGGAGGTTGGACTTAGTCAGTTTCAGATTGTGCTGTTTAAGCAAATAAAATGTGGTTAAAATTCTTGTAATGGGAATTTTGTCTGTAGTTCAGATCTTGGGTGTGTCACCGTCATACTAAATAAGTGAATAGTGACACTGCACCAACAATAACTTTTGGTTTATTTGCTGTTAAAATTTCTATGGCTTCCCAGGCTCCAAATCAGAACATCTTGTCAGCGCTTGTGTGAACTTCTGCCCTTTGTCGATGGTCAGTTAGACACGGCAACCCTTCTAGAGCTCACTGTGAAGTACATAAGCTACCTCAAGGAGAGTCTGCCTCCAGACGTTCTGTCTAAAGTAGGTTTAATGCATTCTGATGGCAGCACTGAATGTGAATCCCATGAAACGATTGCTAGAAGAACTAACGACACCTTGTCTTTCTACAGGTTATTCTAGCAGCTGAGAAGAAAGTGTGCAGTTTGTGGAAAAACATACCAAAGAGGAAACGGTACAGAGAGTCTTAGCCATGTACCTACGTGAATTTTTAGTTGTATGTGTTTTTGTTGTTTTTTTAAACAAGTTTTAATTTTTTTTTTTTTCTCAGAAAAACAATCCGACTAAAGAGGAATACCTCACAAAGAACAAAACAAACTAGGAAATCAAATAAGGGTATTTTTTTAAACTGTTTTGCATTTATTCATCTCTTGGTGCAGTGTGAGTTTGTTAACATAGTTTTTCATTTCAGATTGTGTCTCAAGAAGAAGCGCTCAGCAGATCTGTAAACAAGTAAATCAGCCAACTATCACAATAACCTATCCTCTGATGATGAATCTAATGCTTCCTCAAGCCGACAGCCTGACCACAGTGCATGCCCCACCAATACTGTTGGACAAATCGACCGTTCCCCGGGGACAGATGCTGCCAGTTTGCCAGGATCAATTTCTCTCTGCCTCATTTCGGTTTGTGGAAAATAACTGGATAAACCAAGCGTCTGCATTTACAAACACGGCTTCGTGTGCTTTTACGTCATCAGCGATCAGCCACACTTCTTTACCACAGATGGGGCCGGATCCATCTTCAAGCCATTTATTATGGGATGTCCCTTCTAATCTCGTGGATCCTGTGGCTTGCCCGTCAATTCATTCTGGCCAAGCTTACAGCCCACCTGAACAGAGTGCTGTAACAAATTTCATCATACCTTCAGTGGAGCAAAGCCAGACTGATTCACCTCTGCTCGGCCCACCTGACAGTGTCTCAGTAGAAGATTTTATAAACGAACTATTCACCCCGCCATCAGTATTTCACTGTGCAACTACTGATGACTTGACCCCTGAAAATGCAACTCATCCAGAGTTAGAAGCGCTGTGTGATCCTACATTTGTCCAGGAGAGCGACGTCTGCAGCAGCAGCCCTTTGACTGACAGTCAGTGTGACCTGGTCAGTCCCTTTTGGCTGGATTTGCTTTTGGATAGCAGTGATAACTTTTTCTTCCCTGATGCTAACCTTGTAGACCTTGTTCTTTCACCTGAAACAGGCTCCACTAACTAAGTGGTTTTACTTAATGAAACTGTTAATGATACGCTTAATATGTGCAGCATATTTGCAGCTTTGAATATCCAGCAATTACAGAAATGGGTGTAAAAGATGTAATTTTTTTTTTCCTTTTTTGGACTGCATTTCTTATATTTTACTGACCTAGAGCAGCACTAATGTCATTTGTTTGAGTTTGCACACGATATCTGTAACATGCATTGCAATACATATATACTGTATGCAAAAAAAATATATTTAGCTCATAGCGACAGTGTGAGGTCTGTTTGCAGCTAGTCAGTGAATTTTCTTGTCTTTTTATCTGATTTAGTGCAAGTGCTGGCAGTCTTCTCAATTTTACAGGTGGCATTTACAACTGTATGATGTCTTTAGTTTATCAGTAAAACAATCAAAGAATTATGGTGGCAGAGCATCTTTTTGATTTCTGATCAGTCATTATGTATTTTCCATTGTAAAATTTTAAAAGCAGACAATTCATATAAGTGGATTATTTGTATTACACAAATGGGAAACCATTGGACGATTGCTGTTTTGTTTTGCAATTAAATAAAAAATACTTGAAGACTTGTCAGTTTGTTAAGAAAAAAATAACCTGTATAGTCAATGTTTAATTTGAATACCAATGGTTAAAAAAAAAAAAAGAATTTATAGTGTTTTTTTTTTTTAACAATGTGAATCTCTTTCCTATTCACACACTTATGGCACTGAGCTGTGATTCAAGGTGTAAGGTTGATCATCAGGACTAATTGGGGTTCAGTGGATTTGACAAATGACACTTTGAGCCCTATAACTGGTGGGCAACCTGCTATGCTTCATGAGCAGCATGTGTGGAATCTTAGGAGCAAAACAAATGCATTAAATGCTTATGCAAACGCGTATAAAAACTAATATTTAGAAATATATTTTAAAATCTGACCAAAAACATTTAATTTTGGACCTAACTGTAAAGATTTCTCCAACCCTGATTGGATGAGAATTGTACAAATAATTTGGATGTGCCATTTTCTCTTGTTTTCCATCTAGGAGAAAGATATTTGCAGAATTAACCAAGATTCATGAGATGTTCTGCGGTAACTAACATGTTTTAAAGCATCCAGCCACTAGGTGGAGGTATTAGGATCACATTAAACTGAAGTTAAAAATGAAAACCTTATTACTGCCTGCTCAAACCTTCCCAGCTCCAGTGAGCGCTTCATATGGTGCAAAATAAATAATTGTGACTCCAAAAATATTAATGTTTAATTTTGTCTCTCTTTATTCAAAATCAGTATTTCAGTAGGAAGAGAAATCTCAGTGTGCAACTAGATGTAGTTTATAAGCCATCTGAAAATTACAATGACCTGCTGAGGGCATAAAGCTAGACTTCAAAAAGAGACAAACCAGATCACTCAAAAAAACAAAGTTTAAACAAAGTTAGCATCACACTTCAAAACTTCTCATCTTGTTAACATGTTTTGTTTCACACATCACAGTGAAGAAATCTAGATTTTACGAAACGCTATACACAACATTTTGAAATTATGTGACTACAAGTGAGCCGGAGAATATTAGACAGCACTGCTGGACACAAATATTATCAGTTACAGTTTTACACTCATTAGAGTTGGAGTTGAGAGGCAGTACCGTCAGTCATAGGATTATTGGAATGATATGTATTGAAGATCTAAGAAAATATCTTGACACACTGTGGACAAGTTTTACAGCGTGTAGATTATAAAATATTAGATTTCTGCATTATCATTTGATATGTGGAGGCACAGTCAGTCAGCAGTAGTGATTACTTCACATTAAAAACACCACGGCAAAAAACAGCATAGATGACAATATTTAGTCTGAAATGTGTGAATTACATGACAGGTAGTGACGCAAACATATTGTTTTTTCATCATTCATTTAAAGCACATTACTTATTCTTACCATATCAGGGAAAACACAAAGAGATGTTTCATGAAGATTATGAGAGATTCCTACTTGAGACCAAATTAATGCTTTCTTAATACAAACAGCAGTGTTAAACCGTTACTTTCTAAGTTAGGTGATATTACCTGAATTTTATATTGTGCATCAATATGCTATATGAATAAATGTTTTGGTTTGGGTTGTATAATCTCCTGTTGCTCAACATTAAGGTCCATCTACCTTAAATTACAAAAGAATTAAAGTGCTTACGAGTTATATCAAACTATAAGATATGTATAGAACAGTAGTTGTAAATATAGAGTATGTTTTATAAATAATTAATCTTAAATATAGATTTATTTATTTTAAAAAATTATGTTTTAAGGCATTGCTGAGGGAATGATCAGGACACTAACAGCTATTTATCCAATTTCTGCACCTCCTTCCCGGTCTCTGGTTTTTCCTGAAGCTTGTAGTCTTCCAAAATGGCCTGCGCCGTTTGCTTGCCAGTCCTTTTCACCACAGCTTTGATTCCCAGGTTGTCAATATTGAAGGCAGTGATACCGACATTGATGGCGGAATTGACGGCGTTGTCTGTGGCTTGTCCCGCTGCAGCCCCGTACCTTCGTGAGTCAGATTGAGTGAGAGGTCAGAGCAAGAGGCGGGAGACAGAGGATTTGGGGAGAATTGATTAATATGCAGTGCAAGGATGCAAAGCTGCCATGCTGAACGTGAATTACAATGTGAGGATTACACCCATGCACGTGCACAATCTGGAACACAGACACTTCTGACCTTAAGAATCTGATTTTGATATTGGATCTCCATAAAATTCAATTCAGAAGCCAATTAATGGCTAAACATATTTGCTTTTGGTTGATTTAGTTTTTTTAAATTGCAAGGGCAAATTAAGGCATCATTTAGATCCCAAATTCCTGTAAATTCAAATTTCCTATAATGAGGTCCTGCCAATTGATTTCCCACAAATCAAATGTATTAATAAGAGAATGGTAAAGTAAATTTTTATACTACTAAATAATTTATAACAACAGAAATCAGTAGTCAGCTCTGTTGTCTACATATTTGGTCATAATCAGAACACGTAGCAGCAATTCATAGAATATGGGAAGATGTTAAAGTCGGCCGGGACAGAGACATTGTCAACTGTGAAATTTCAATTAGAAACACTTTTGGAAATAAGTGAAGCAGCACACCAATGTGAATTAGCACACAGGCAAGAGAAGGAGATTGGTAGAGCACAGAAATCAAGAGCACTTTGTGCAAGAGCAAAATAATTACAAAAAAAAAAAGAGGGGCTGGTGTCACGTCTGTCATTAGTGGTGTGAAGAGCGAAATGCATTTATAAAGAATTACACTTCTCCTCATTAGGTGGGTCAAAGACGTTTTGTAGACCCCTAAATCTGCAAAGCAAATCGAAGTTGAAAGTGAGTGAGTTTGGTTTTGCTGGTATAATGCAAGAGGTCATTTTCACATCAAACCTGTCTAGCAAGCAGTGGTGGGCAAAAAATTTGAATAGCTGTGTTTTCAAGCAAGTGACAGTGGTGAGACAAGTAGTTCAGCACAGACGAGGAAACTTACTTATGTTTTATGGTGGTAACTGTCTCTGTTGCTACACTTGTAGTTATGTCCTTTGCTGCCGATTCCAAACCAGTCCACATGGTTGCAAATCCTGGGCAAATACACAAAGCTCTCTTTAAATACATATACAGCGTACAACGCATGCACATTTTAACACACCTTACTGTTAGAGAATATAAAATGTGGATTCAGTTTACCTTGCACTCCACTAGCAGCTACCACCATGGCTCCATCTATGTTTGAACGCCCATCCTTGTCTTTCTTCATCGACTCTGGGATCAGCTTGCCTCCGTGCTTTTTCACATGTGGAGCCAGCTCTCGACCCACACAGCCAGCAACAGCACACACCCCATCCACTGCAGTAACACAGCATTACTCAATTAGAGGTGCACTGCCAAACAACCACACAAGGTCATGTAAAACAGCTGACTGAGGATGACTAAGTCACCTAGAAATTGGCTGACTTTGACGGCTCCTCCCGTCGCCTGTTTGGCGACATGGAGGCCTTTGGTGACTGTGGGGCTGACTTGGGCGGGTTTGTCCTCTGGAGTGATGTGTTCTCGGAGTTTAGATGCCCCTTTGTGAATGGCCTTGCCGGTGTACTCGGCTCCTTTCACCAGACCCCAGCTTAACCAGGACGCACCTGAAAGGATCACAGCAGGTGAGTCACTCCAGACGGTTGACCTATATTCAGGAATAACTGAATTCCAAACAAGTCACTACCAAACTAAAGCACAAAGCTATTCAAGTCTAAAGACACAACGTGGCCTCACCTGTCAGGATCCCATTTGCCACCTTTTCACTCCATTCGGGGAGAGGTTTTTCTTCCTCTGTCTCTGTCTCTGCTGGTGCCGTCTCCTCAGGTGTAACGATAGACACCTTCTGACTGAGATTAATGGTGTCTGCAGCTTCATCTGGAGCCTGATCATACAGACACATTAGTTAGCTACTTTAGGATGAAGACAGACAATGTGGGCTGAAAAGAAGAATTACTTGTCTGTCACTTTGTGCAAGTTGTACACATCTCCCTTCGAATGCTTGTCTCCAAGTAACCCCCCCAAAATCACACAATACCTCCTCTCATTCTGTGCTGCTCGTTACAATGCGCTATTTGTTAGCCGCAAACAGACTAAAACGTCTCTGTGCAGCTGACAGCCTTAAATCTTCTATTTGGCCCAAAAATGAAATAACACAAAAGTGCTTACTTTCTGACTGGGTACCACGGCCATCAGAGAAGATAATTAGCCTGAGAGCATTCATCAGAAATGACCTTGTCTGGCAGCGTTCTGAAGCAGCGTCTCCACCTGCATCATGACTAAACTGGCACTTGTCTTTCTATTGAAGCTCTGAGGTTGCTCTAAGTGCTGCAGATAAGAGCATTATAACTGATTAATTCTCCTCACCTGCCTGTGTCAAATCCCCACAATGCTGAGGCAGGGGTAACTTTGGGAAGGGTGCCAGGTCAGAAGTAGGCAGCAGCAAGAGCTTCATGCCAGGCCAGTTTTAATAATAGTTAATGAAAACTTCTGAAATCCTTTCAGTCTGCAACCTCAAAGCACTGAGTTAGCAGCAACTACAGGTTTAATATTTGCACTTTCTTATGCTTGCAGAATGTGTTTTTTGGCACCTTTAAATATTTTTGCACCTTGTACAAGACATGCTAAATGTTCTATTTGCTTTATTGGAGCAGATTTTATTTTATTTTATTTATCTATGTATATATATATATTTCTTGAACACTTTATGTATCTTACTTTATTTTATTTTTATTTTTTTATTGCAACTGGACGCAGGTACCAAGCAGATTTCACTACACATTGTCCTTTTATAATTGTGTATGTGACAAATAAAGTTTATCTTTATCTTTTATAATCAACTTGGAAAAGGGTGGAGGATGTTTGGGGGACTGTGAAACAGCAGTGAAATCACAAGCTAACAATTGCACCAGTGTGTAGCACTGGTTTTTCCCTTTATCATCGGTTTGCACTTTCAACTAAATTTCAACACAAAACATCTACGCACTAAAATATCTTTAACTGAGGACAATTGTATTTAGGTGGCTGCTCAAATAGGTTGTTCCTTATAGGAACCACAGATTGTTGAAGTCCACATTAGTAAATGAAGCTTCAAAGCACAAATACTGTGGAACAGTAAGACCATTAAAGAAATTGCAAAATGTGGATGAAACCACTTCCACATGCCTGAAACTAAACACAGTGCTCAAAGCTTCAACTTCACTGTGTCATTTACTTAAAATAGCGCTCTGTGTTCTCCATTGGCACAAGAGGATTTGCCAAAAGGTATTGGGTAACAATTCTCTGGTGACTTCAAACACTGGACGCTAAAAACACCCTGACTGGCCATTTATCACGTACACAATTAAAATGCAAACTAACACAACAGCTTTGCCATTAATTCTACTTTTAGAGCGCTTATATGTTTTTAGTTCTTGCTAAAGTTGTCAAAATGGTGAAAATTCTACTTTATGTTTATTATTGACATCACAGTGGGTGGTGGTGGTGCATTGGATTGCATTTAAGTGCTCCTAATATTCTGTACATCATGTTAATATAAATGATCACATCACCCCAAACCTGAAAATGCAGAGGCTTTGTAAAAGTGGAATTTATAGCAGAACTGTTGATTGCATTACATCTTCCCCGGTTTAATAAAGTGGCTGTGGAGTATATATTTCACATGACAATATCTCTGAGATCAGTGAGAAAAAACACTGGCTGCAGCTGACCTTTATTACTGATACACACCCAACAGCCACAGAATTAAAAAATGAAGAACATGAATCATCTTGTTTCAGTGCAATGTTCTGTTGGGAAACGTTGGGTCCTGGCATTCACGTGGAGGGATTCTGACACGTACCACTCACCGAAACATTGCTGCAGAACGAGCAGACCCACTCCAGGATATTCAGATATATCGGCCTTGTTTGTATTTGTTCATCATAAACTGTTAAAACCTGTCACGCTGTCGCAGAACTGGCTCCACAGAAACACTGACCTGAACCCTGAGATCTGTCATCTGTGACAAAAGGTCCTGAAACAGTTCTCTGTCTGCAGCAGGAAGCTCCGAGGACAGCACCACCCCCACATAATAGCCTGGAGCTGGCGCCATCATGTCCGGAAACATAAACACGCCAGTGTTACACAGCAGCACTGGAGAGTCCATAGCCATGAGAGGATACAGCCAGTCGCACACCTGTCAGGAAGCAAAGAAGATGAACAAAGACAAAAAATGTGATTAAAAAATAGGTAGATGTATGATGCCATGATGATGTGTATCTGCCCCCAGATTTCCTGATTTATAAATATTGCTCCTTAATATACAGGACAGGCAATAATGAGTGAATTTATCTAGAAGAGGAACAAACAGATCTGCCAAGTCATTTTGGTTTTCACATGCTCTGATGAGTGCAACACAAAGAACCATCTTAGAGACGACAACCCAAAGGACACTGTTGTCCTCTGACTGCTGCATGTCTAACAAGATTACGGGGCATAACAGTGTAAGCAGGGTTTATGTAATTACTTGCGCTCATGTGAATCCCTGATGTCACCCACTGGCAATAGCACCTGGGAAATTCCCCCAGTGAAGAGTCAAATTTCAGTCTCATGACACACTAATGTCAATGAAGAAAGCAGGGCAAAGCATTGTCGGAAAAAAATATATTTATGTGTGTGTGATATGGTCTTTTAATAAGAGCACAAGTTGACAGGTTTATACAGCTTTAATTATTTCTTATCTTATCACTGCCTGTAGTGTTTACATATACCCTCCACATTTACAATCCAGCTTAGTTTTTCCACGACCTGATGAGTTGTACGCTGGCTGGGGACAAATTAGCGTAATTACATGTTGTTTGAATTGTTTCTGTGCTTTCCCACTTTGATTTCACTGTTGCTTTCATTGATTAAATCACTGCAGGGTAGAAAAATCTGACACATATCTCAAACTAATCTGCTGTTTTCTGAGCAACAGAGATTCATGCGTCATAAGATAAAGGTCAGATGCACAATGCAGAATATTCCCAAACTGTTTAATACCCTAAAAGTCTAAAAACTCTTCTTGTAGTGCAGAATACTGTCAAAGTGTCTAGACTGTCCGTGATTAAGGTTTCCCCTTCATTGACACTTATAAAGGCAGAGCTTTGTTGAATTTACACGTTAAACAAAACCTGATGTCACTGACAGCAAAGAGAAAACTTTAATAAGATGCATCTCATGCATCACTACCAGCAGCAGAATCCTCCACAATGATTCTTAGTCATCACAGCAGGATGGTGCACTCGCTGATTAATGCAGGCCATTAACAGCATAATTCACAATACTAACAAGATGTTATAAACGTGACTACTGCTCAGAGAGTGGCTATATACAGAGGACAACAGTTTCAACAAGATGAAGAGCCAGATGTCAGTCTCATGGATGGATGCAAGCAGTGATGTCAGATGTGCAGAAATGACACTTAATTGTCCTTGTAAATTCCTTATTGATTGTTCGTCAATAAAAAAACTAAATATGATACGCTTTAGAACAGAGTTGCACTAATTACTCAATTAATTGTAGACTATTGAGTTATCAGCTATTTGATACAATTATCTGACTGAGAAAAATTTTGAGGAAAGAAAAAAAGTCAAAGATTTCTGATTCTAGCATCTTAAAGTTGAATATTTTCTCTCTTTTTTTTTCTATGAAAGTAAAGTAAATATCTTTGGGTTGTGGGCACAATAAGAAATCTGAGGATGTCATCCTGGGCATGGGGGAAACAGTGATTGACATTTTTTTGTTTACAGTTTTCTGACACTCTATAGATGGGCGGCTGTGGCTCAGGTGGTAGCGGGTCGGTCAACGATCGGAAGGTTGGCGGATCGATTCTGCCCTGTAACCTGTGTCATGGTCGTTGTGTCCTTGGGCAAGACACTTCACCCACTTTGGTGTATGAATGCGTATGAATGGATTGTTTGAGGTGGTGGTTGGAGGGGCAGAATGGCAGCCACGCCTCTGTCTGCTGTGGCTACAATCGTAGCTTACCACCACAGGCATGGATGTGTGTGAATTAATTGACAGTGTATGCGCTTTGAGTTACTCCCTGAGTAAGAAAAGCGTTATATAAATCTAATCAATTATTATTATTATTATTATTATTATTATTATAAAACAACTAATTAAATAATCACAAAAATAATCAACTGAATAATCCACAACAGGGATTTATTGATGTTTTGCTGTATTTGATTGCATTAGGTGGATCTTTTTAAAGTATTTTAGGAACCACACTGTAAAAACTGTCACACAGACTGAGGCCCCTTAACACAAATAGATTTTGCAGTTAGAGAGTTGTAAAACCATCTAGATCCCAGCCAGTGTTTCTGTGTTGCAACACATCATCTTAGGATGTTGCGCACATTTATAATCATTTTCTATAATAAATATCACGAGTCATGACTGAGGGGTCATCTTTTCTCCCCACTTTGAGCCGGACCTGATCCCTGTCTGGGAATCCCCGGAGGATGACATCACGGCCGTAAACCCAGCAGGATTAAGGCACGAGGTAAGCAGCGCTCACATGATCGTGTCCATAGGGCGAGGGGCATTGATTATTAACAAGCCTATCTCCTCCCGCTGATGACTCACAGTCAATGAGGGCTTGATGCGCAAACATCTTACAAAATCAGGTGAAAGGTCACAAAACAACTAAAGAGAGCCGGTGACACTGCAGTGATGACATCTCACTTGCACTGATTGCATCAAACAGGCATGATCACGGCTTATCTCTTCCTCTAAGGCTTGATAATACAGTGATAAAGAGTGTGGAGGAGGATACATTTTTTTCTCTTACCTGAAGAAATGCTGGTGGGCGAGTGGGCGCTCTGTCAGACTGATCACCGGTAAACTTCACCAGCCGCAGGTAGCCCGGGTATGACGGCGCGCTCACCTGCCCCTCAGGTGTGACAAAAAATATCTGCACACCGTGAGGAATGTACAGCATCTCCTCTCCGTCTTCACCCATAGTCTGGAGAGATGTTGTCGAGTTAGATGTGCGACTGTAGAACTCATCCCCGACCAACGACATCTCCCCTGAATCTGTTCCATATGAGATGGACAGATGGCCGTCAGCCGCCTGAGGAGAGTAAGCTGGAGGCTGCTCGCCTGGAACCAGAGGCTGTCCAGCAGGTGAGAGACCACTTCCTGCAGGCCTGCCTCCTACAGCTCCAGCCGGCTGACCGTTCGCAGAAAGCTGGTTCATTGGAGGTGGCCTCTCTGGCTTCTCTTTGGTTTGGAGCTTTGGGTAGAGACCTTGTGCAGGCACGTCTGAAGCACTGGACACACTGCTGGAGCTCAGTGTGGAGCCCTCGTCAGGGCTGGTCTCCAGTATGGCGAGGCGGGTGGTGATGTTGTTCAGCGTCTCCTGCATCTTCTGCTGCATCTGTCTGGCCGATTCCCACGAGCTGCCGAGGCACTCCTCTCCCTGCGAAGGCACGCTGATGGCCCTGAGAAGGTGCTGCCGTCCTCGCTTGTAGAGCTCCACGGCCTGCGTCTTGTCTCCAGCTTCGTCTGCTGTGAGTCCTTTATTGAGGCACTCAAAGGCCCTCTCGTAGCCATCTTTGATCACTTGGAGTCTGGCGTTGTCAAATGCATCTTGTTTGGCTTTCTCCATTCCCTCTGAAAAAAGACAATCAGCTTTATTGATTCACATCTACACTGCATAACATGAACTGACCAGCACATAAAAACACATGTACAGCAAGAGTTGGCACCATTATAGTCTTAACCAGAATGTGACACACTTCTTCTTACTTTACAACAAGCCACAGGTTATTTTACTTTCACTTTTCTGCTGACTTAACACTTGAATTACAACCAGAAGTCATTTACACCGCTCAAGAAGGGGAAAAAAAACTGATGACCTGTAACTGAGCTGCACAGTCTGTCTGAATGTTAAGTCACCTGCTTGCTTCTAGTTAGTGCGTTGGTTTATCCGCTGTAAAAAGAGGGTTGCTAAAGTAGGCTAAAACAAGCTAAAAACAAGCTAATCCCCCACAACAAGCAACAGCTCTGCTAACACAACTTCAGCTGTTACGCCATGAAGTCCCAGTAGTAAGAACAGAGGCGCAAAAAAAAAAACAAAAAAACACAGACAAGTCTGTTGTCATGTCAGTAGTTTGTGGCTGTTAGTTAGCATTAGCTCCGTTATTAGCTAACGGTGTCCTCGCTTACCCCAGTGAGCGAAAAACTCCGAAGAACAGCTTCAGGTGACTCTCCACTAGCCAACGTCTGTCCAAGCCGTCGAATAGCGTGAACTTTAATTATCAGCCGGCTTCCTGAATAAAGTGTGCTCCGCTGGTAAACGACTCCTGAATGTGGACTAATGATATCACTACACATCACAGCGCCGACCTTTCAAAACAAAAGTACGGCGGAAGGACGAACAGGCGAGCCCCCTACATACAACTTGTGCTTTATGTTGAAAATATTGCCCGGATGTAGAAATGCGCCACAGTTAATCAGCTTTATTTTTTTTGCAGCGCCTTTTATTAGTGTGACCACAGGAGGACAGTAAGAGCCATTCTGAATGATAAAAGGAAACTTTAGGCCTATAGCGCCTTTAAAATCTAGAATTACAAGGTAAACGCTAAAGACTACAATAATAAAACATTAAAAAGCATTGTAAAACACAAACCCAGGTTGTAAATGTGGGTTTTTAAAAGATTGTTAAACAGAGGCACTGACTGACTGTGTTTTGACACAGTGTCGTTGGTTAGGATCATTAAAATAATTTTAAAAATAATCAACAAACCCTTCTATAGTGAATAGGGAGCCAGTGTACGTACATAAACAAATATATTTAAACAAACCAATGAATAAAGTAACCGGAGCTGCAGGTTCCGCTCAGTGTCGAATCACGTGCTTTACTGCCATCTGCTGGTCACGATAAGAAACTGCACCAGCTCAAAGTTTAGACAAATGAAAGTCACTGTAGAAATCATTTTACCTCACACTGTACTTGAAATGCTAATGAACTACTGTTGTGTTGATTTTTCTTAAGCAGCTAAAGATTATCCTTCTGGATTTTTTAGTGGGAATAATGTTGAGTCTTATATTAACACCATCCATCCATCCATCCATTATCTTTACACCACTTAATCCTCACTAGGGTCGTGGGGGGCTGGAGTCTATCCCAGTCGACTTAGGGCGAAGGCAGGGGACACCTGGACATGTCACCAGTCTATCACAGGGCTACACTTAGAGACAGACAACCAAGCACACTCACATTCACACCTACAGACAATTTAGAATCAATAATTAACCTCACCCTGTTTTTGGACTGTGGGAAGAAGCCGGAGAACCCACGCTGCATGAAGAGAACATGGAGACTCCATGCTGAAAGATCCTGGGTGTCCTCACCGGGATGTGAACTGGCGACCTTCTAACCACCGCACCACCTTGCAGCCCCATTCGGAAACAACCTGACAATAATCACAAAATCACTCTGTTAATTGTTCTATAATGGTTTAAAATAGCTGGCAAAATCTAAGGACAAAACAGATTCAAATAAAAGAAAGCCACAAAGTAAGCAAATAATAGTAATAATAGACAAGAAGAACCCAGTAAAGTGGACATGGTTTCATCACTCACCTTAATATTTAGGTCGTAGGCTACAGATGTTAAACACATTGTTGGTATTCCTTAATTTATTTTAAATAAATAATTGAAAACAATTACTTGAAAGCTGATTACTTTTTATCTGTTTTAATAATTGATCGGAAGTATTACAATGGAGTAATTGATGAGTAATCTTGGAGTAATTTGACTATTTTCTGCAGTTCGTTAATGTAGCCACTAGAGGGCAGTAAACAGCCATTCTGAATATTAGTATTAATATTAATATACCTATCAGTATTTCTAGGTCACCTTTTTCCAAAAACTGGAGTTACACGGTGCTTTTTAAAAGCACTAATAAAACATTAAAAACAGCAATAAAGATTGATAGATATTTTTTGGAGTCATTGCAGGAAATGGCTTTGTTACAGAAGTTACAATCACAGTCTATCTAAGAATCTAAATCTAATGCTAAACATACAAACAACTTTTCAAGCACAACTATTCACAAAGGTACTCAAACTTGAAGAAGACTTAAAGCGAGGTAACAAAAATATGTGTATTTGCAATTTGTAATGTGTAAAATATACAGTATGGAAAATATGCAAAGTGTAAAAATGTAGAAAATCTAGAATGTATTTAACATACAGTGAATTATTTAAAAAGAAAAAAAAAGGAACAGTATCAAAATACATGTAAAACGTGTAAAGAAAACAACATGTGTACCTGTGCATAACACAACATTTTTCTGTACATGGAGTACAGCGGGGTTAGTTCTTATTATTGCCCATTAAACAGCCTCATGGCAGCAAATAGAAACTTTAACAGTTGTTGGATTTTCAGATCTGAAGAGTCCAGATCAGATCAAACAGCTCCAAGAGGTTAACAGCTCTGAGATGTAGACCCAGAGATTTAAAACTAATCAACACAATCGTCTATAACTACTACGGACTCCCAGAAGAACTCAAACTTCCATTATTGCAAAATGACAACATATATTTAACACTTCCGGTGTGTACTTTCGCCGGCTACGGAGAGACGACCACTCTGCATACCAATTATTAATCATATCCATTAGACATATTATTAAAAGATATTCAGATCGAGCAATCTTTACAAATATAACAAGCTACATATTTAAATAGTTATGAAATCCGAAGCGTCTTGAAGGTTATCCACAACAGGCAGCTAAGCTAGCAAGCTAATGCTAAACGTCAACAAACTTCTCTAGCAGGTATGTCTCGCCTTAAGATGTCTGACTTTAATGTAACCCTGGCCAATAAGCCAAGTAATGCATTTAAATACTTTCTTCACATTTAGGTTACTTTTACCTCCGTTTTATCTCCGTTTGTCCTGCAAACACAGGTGATGGTAGAGAACTTTTGTTGACTGCCCTCTTGCGGTCAAAAGGCGGAACTGCAACATATTAAAATGAGTCAAGTTTGCATTAATGAGGGAATTGCAAAGAAGAACATTTCCGGAAGATACTATCAAAATATACCATGATGTTTATTGGTCTTTACCACAGCAGAGGCTGAAACTCTTCACTCTTCAGAGGTAATAATATAGATTTTTAGTGGTAATAATAACGTAGCACACTGTTACACTTTATACATACCAGCATCGTCTTCTGAAAGTATACATAGCGGGAGATTCAAAAGGTAAATGTATTATTTTTATGTTCTTTTCATATTTAGCACTATTTAGAGTCTAACAAGCCAGTTGAGCATTAATGACATGACAGCAAATAACCAAACTTAAATATTTAGGACCAAGCTTACCATTACCATCATGAAATGACATTTTAATTCTTTTCTAGTGTCCAGGTATTTGTGGAGCTTAAACTAGTTTGTTTGATTGGCAACAGACTGAGAAATGAAACATCACCAATGAGATCCCAGTAAAGCGGATATGTTTGCATTGCAGTCCTTAATATTTAAGTGATAAACATGGTCTTGCTGGTGTTACAGTATTAAAAACAACAACAACATGTTTTGGACGTTTTTGTACATTCCTCTGCTGATCTCTTCTCAGAAGGCAGCTGCTGAGAAGTTGTGCTGACCAGAACACTAGCCTGAATAATTTGTTCAGGAGGTGACCACTTTAACACGGCATGTGACCTTTCTCTGTTTATGGACCACCCACAGCAGGAGCGAAGCCGAGAGCTCCTCCTAGCAGGGTTGAAATGAGGCAAAGTCAGATAAGCCAAAGAAACAGACGATGACCACTTCGCTCAGAATTTTCATCCACCATAAAACTGTTTAATGATGCTTCCAGAGTGAGACAGATAAGACACGAGTGCTGCTTCGTCCTACTTTTAAATGTCTTAAAGCAAACAGCAGGTTATTTTGGAAAATTCTGGCATGTGGTGGGGTTATGTCACCGAGTCAAATAAAAAGTGGTTGGAATTTATCTACAAAATCACTGTCATGAGGAAAAAAGAGAAGATTTGTGACAGATTTGAAAAGCAGAGCAGGTTGTGCTGGACATCACGTCATGCATGCATTAATATGCTACTCATCTATTGTACATGAACCGTAAACAGTTCACAAGTTGGCGATTGTTGAAAGTGTAAATGGATATTACACTTTTGTCAGAAGCTGCACTGAGAGATACAGTCTGCAGAGGGCACCCGATCCCATCGCAGAGGCGATGTGGAGGAAAACCGCATGGCGTTTCTGCTATTTTGAGTTCAAGTTAATCAAAACCTTTTATGTGCCTCATAATTTAAACATTATGTCCAAGCCTGGCAGTGATTAGGCCTGCAGCTTGGCATAAATGGGCCACTAATGACCATTAAATTGTTATTTTTAAGTATATGGCCATCAAACAGAAAAGGCTACAGACTTTTAAAAGTCAGCAGTGCAAATCAACATGCATAATTAACTAAGAAGTCACTTTTTTTCACATTCTTTCATGTCCCTGTTTTATTAGTCCGACTGTCACCAGTTTGTTCTGCGATAGTGGCTGAGAGCCTGAGGAAAGGCATGCGATAAACATCAGTCTCATCTCCAGTTTGACAGATTCCCAGCATTCATCATACATAGATATACAGCACTGGAACCAGACTGGACACGCTCCTCACACATGTGGCGTTAACTGTGACTTCATATCATGTTTAACTCCATCATACCCAGTGAGGGTTTTCTTTACACCAAAAACAAAGAATTCTGACTTTGAGATGTGCAGCTTGTGCATGCCCAGTGTCGTGGCTCATCATCGCATCAGATGTTTGAAGATTCTGTTCCTTTGCTGTGTTTCTTTCTTCAGGTGACACCATGAGAGCTGTACTGAGAATATTGCAAATATATCACATGACTCCATATTGTTGATTGTTCTACCAGATGACATCCCAATGCGGAAGTTGTAAATTACGTCCGTTCATGGTTCAACAACAGCTAATGTCTGTGACTGAAACAGGCTGGTAATACACGTCTTCTGCTGTTATTGCTGGTTCGCATATGAGCAACATATGTGCCGTCAGAAGAGTGATTTCTTGTAGGTGCATCTATAGAATGATAAATGTGGTTTTGGTCAAAGTAATATTTTTGCCAGAATACATTTATTTTCCTGCCATTGCAGAAGACAGCACGGACCTCCATAAAAGATTTAGGTACTACGGTGGACATACTCTGTCTGTTGCTATACTTATTTGCCAGTTATTGTTCCGCATCAGCAGCTGCCACATGTAAAGAAGCCACATTAAGATTAAATCTAACCCAAAACAGCCCATTTGCATTCTTTCGGTGCTCACGTACTACTGAAACAGATGATAACACG